AATCAGTTTGATTCCTTTGGTGTGGTGTTGTAGGATAAGCAATGGACTGCTAACCACCAGGTCAACAGTTCAAACCCACCAGCTGCTCCTTGGAAACAATATACAGAGTTTCCGTGAGTCAGAACCAACTCGACAGCACTAACAACATGTACAGGTGCCGTTTATGTTGTCGAAAAAGGTATTTGCAATGACTAAGTCCTTGGGCTTGTAAAATTCTATCATGGGCTCTTCAGCATAACTTCTATCCCCAAGGCCATATTTTCCAACTGCTGATCCTTCCTCTCTGTTACTTCTAACATTCGCATTCCAATCATCAGTGATTATCACATCTGGATTGCATGTTTGTTCAATTTCACACCATCAAAACCTGAGCCGGCTGCAAGGGCAAACAACTGTCTCCCCCTCCAAGCAGCCTCCTAGGATCTATTCACCCCCTCACTCAGAGCACCCTATCATGTTATAAGTTTTGATCAATATTTGCTGGGTAGGTGAATGGAAGAAACAACGGATAAGACATTACTTCCTAGGGTCTCTGCATGTCTCTATTGTCTCCAGGGCTCCTAGTGGTACAGACAGTTAAGCGCTAGGCTGCTGATCTAAAGGATGACAGTTCAAACCCACCCAGTGAATCCTTGGGAGAAAGTTCTGGCAATCTGCTCTTATAGAAATTCCATTCTGGGAAGCTCTACGGCGCAGTTTTGTTGGACTTGACTGGAAGACACATAGCAACAACAACAACATTGTCCTCATAGTTGATAAGGGGCAGATTCAGAATTCATACCTGGCCAGTGTGGCTTCAGGTCCGATGCTTTTGACAGCTAGGCCACGCTGCTTCTCACTGGTCCTCGTCTGTGCTCGGGACCATTGGTCAGCCAATTAGGTGGCTGTTTGCTGCCCTTCTGCACTGGGAGGGAGGGGGCAGAGAGCACAGCTGGGCCTCTGACAAGCAGTGCTTGCTCTGTGTGTATAGCGGACCTGGGGCTCACCCACCAGATGCCCTCTCCAAGGACTCTCCACAGGCAGGTAGGTCTTTGCTCAGCAGCCTCCAGAGTGGGAGGCCGAGTCCCTGAGCAGTCTACTCCAGTGTTGAGAACACTCGTCCCACACTGCCTCCAGGCCCAGCTTACATGGACAATGATACTGGCGGATTTCCTGGAGGTTTGAACAGGCTGAGTACATCGTAACAGTTCTGCCTGCTCCTTCTTTCATTGTTGATATCTGTTGGAGACATTTCATCCCAGAAGGAGCGTGACCGCTGGGCAGTTCTCCAGTGGTTCTCAGTACAGGACTTATTAGCTGCTCTTGTGTGTCAGGGGCAGGGTGTGGAGAGGAGGGTGGGAACTGGGTGCCATGAAGGGAGCCTCAGGCGCACAAATGGAGGAGCTCTTGGGGTACGCAGGCGGGCTTTCATGTCTGTGCTCTAAGCAGCGATGGGTCATTTATTAAGACGATATCACTATCACTCCCCACAGCCCCACCTTCCATTCCAATAGTTGTCGTAAGTTCAATACCTCCTTTTAAAAAGGTTTTTCTAATTATTGCCTTTTATTATCAGTAAGGAGCCGTGCTGGTACAATGGTTCAAACCCACCAGCCACTCCTCAAGAAAAACGAGGAGGCAGCCTGCTTCCACAAAGATCTGCGCTCAGGGACCCTGCGGGCCACTTTTTCTGTGTACTAATTGGACTGCTCTGCGTTGAAGTAGATCCCACAGCTGTGGGTTAGGGGTTTTCCCATCAGTTTCTTTATAAATGCAATCTTTGTCTTTGGAGGTTGGAAACATCACATAGAAACCTATTTTAACACATACCTACATAAAACTTAAGGTAATCTGGTAGCGTAGTGGTTACGAATCGGGCTGCGAACTTTAAGGTCAGCAGTTTGAAACTACCAGCTGCTCTGTGGGAGAAAGATGAGGCTTTCTGATCCCATAAAGATTTACAGCCTCGGAAACCCTGTACAGGGTCGCTATGGGTCAGAACCAACTCAATAGCACTTAACAACAACAACAACATAAAACTTACACATATTATTAAAAAATCGATGATTTTGGAATTTTGTCAGTTTTGGTAATAACTCCACTTATGGAAGGTTCTGGATCATTTGGGAATATCCTTGGGAATGGGGATCATGTTTCTGGTCAAGAAGTTATTGAGAGTTGTCTGTATGCTCCTTTAATGTATTTTAACATTGTAGTACCAGAGTGCTCCTTAGAGGCCAGGATGGTCAAACTTCGTCTCTCATACTTCGGACATATTGTCAGGAAGGACCAGTCACTGGAGAAGAATATCATGTGTGGTAAGGTGGAGGGTCAGAGAAAAAGAGGAAGACACCCAGCGCGATGGATTGGCCAGGTGGCAGCATCGATGGACTCAGTATGGCAACAGTAGTGAGGTTGGCCCAGGATCGGGCTGTGTTTCGTTCTGCTGTGCATAAGGTCGTTATGGGTCAGTACCAACTCGATGGCACCTAACAACAACAACAACAAGTACATGCTACAAATGATAGAAAACGCAAACAAACAGACGGTAGTAGGTGCAGATCACTGTACCCCCGGCACTATCTGCAGCGGTGCCGGTAGCATTTGTGGGCCATTCACCATGGGTCAGACCATCGTTTAAGCACTTCCCATATGTTATCTGCTCTTGTCCTCACAACAGACCCAAGGCAGTGCCATTTTACAGATGAGGACACTGAGGCTTAGGGAAACTGAGGCTGAGGGATTTGCCCAAGGTCCTCCATTTAGAAAATAGCTGGGATTCGAGTTCAGATCATCTCTTCCTTTCTGGCCCTTTCTCTTTCTCTTCCTCTTCCACGTTTCCTTTCTCTCAAGAACTACAGCATCATGGCTGCTAACAGAAAGGTCGGAGGTTCAAACCCGCCAGCTGCTCTGCCAGAGAAGGGTGAGACCTTCTGCTTCCATGAAGATTTACAACCTTGGAAACCCTATGGAGCAGTTCTACTCTTTCCTTCTAGGTCATTATGAGCTATAATCTACCTGATGAGGCTAGATTTCTGTGTGTGTGTGTGTGTGTGTGTGTGTGTTTGTCACACATGAGAGTCCCTGGGAGGTGTAGACAGTTATCATGCAAGACTCCTAACTGGAAGGTTGATAGTTTGAGTCCACTCAGAGTACCTTGGAAGAAAGGTCTGGCAATCGACTTCTAAAAATTCAGTCAGTTCTACTCTGACATCCAGGAGTTACCATGAGTTGTAATTAATAGTCACTGTTGCTGATGTTGGTTGTTGGTTGTGATTGTGCCACTCAGTTGATCTGACTCATAACAACCCCACGTGACAGGAGAGAACTGCCCATAGAGATTTCTAAACTGCACTCTTTACAGAAACAAATCTCCAGATCTTTCTATCAAAGATCTGCTGGGTGGGTTTGAACTGGCAACCTTTAGGTTAGCGGCTGAATGTTTAACAATTGTACAACAGTTAGTTGTACAAGCGTCAGTTAAAAAACATTGCTCCTACAGTTCCATTTCATACATGCATGGGTTAATTCCAAACTCAGTGTTTTCAAATATGTCTCTGCAAACAGTGGATGGCAGCAGACACATTCTCTAACCCACTCGTCTTTGTCTCGTTGTTGTTGTTAAGTTGTCGAGTCGGTCTGTCTCACAGCAACTCTTTACAAGGGTTTCTGAGAAACAGCTGGAGGGTCTGAATCACTGACCTTTCGATTAGCAGTCCAGTGCTTATCCTAGAGCACCAAATGACTTGTTAAGCTGTTTTGGGAAAAAGACGAAGAAAAGGTCCATTCAAAACAATGGCTTCTGAAGAGACCCGCTGGGCCAGTTCAATTCAAGGAAGAGAGACCAGCTCAGAGGTTATGTTATTGTTAGGTGATGTCAGGTCGGTTCTGACTCATAGTGACCTTATGCACAACAGTACAAAACACTGTCTGGTTGTGCACAATCCTCACAATTATTGTTGTGCTCAAGCCCATTGCTGCTGCCACTATCCAATCCATTATGTTGGGGGACTTCCTCTTTTTCACTGACCCTCCACTTTACCAAGCATGATATCCTTCTCCAGGGACTAGCCCCTCTTGACAATATGTCCAAATATGAGAGACGGAGTCTGGCTATCCTGGCTTACAAGGAGCA